GATAAACTCTTGTCGGCATCTCAGCACCCGGTTCCATTTCTGTCTTCCCATGATCTTATCCAGATTTCCTATAACATCCCGGTCCCATTTTTTTCTCCTCAAACCATATCCTTCCGAAACCTCAACTCCCTCACCTATGAAGCCCTGTCGCAGGATCTCGATGCTTCCCAGTGGGACCCCATTTATTCCTGTAAATCCATTGACGCCATGGTAGAAATCCTTACCAACCATCTTCATACCATCCTCGACTGCCATGCTCCTCTCCTAACTAAAACCATCCGACATTCCCCTGCTCCTTGGCTGACACCCGCTTTAAGAGAGTGCATGAGAAGAAGAGATGCGGCAAGACGAAGGTTTAAACGTACCCAACTCTCGGAAGACTATATCGCCTTCAAGCAGCTACGAAACAGCACTCAGTCTGCTATACGCCGAGCCAAATACCGTAACTTCCATCATTCCTTATCCAACACCCCAAACTCCAAGCCCAAGTGGGCTATCCTAAAAAAACTGACCAATTGCAACACACCTCAAACCCAGCTCATCTCCTTTTCTGCTGATGCCACTTTGTCTCCTGTCCCTTCTCATCCTCATCTCCCGCGGCTATGCCGACTCCTGTGTGTTTCCCTATAAATTTTAATCTTGATCAATTCTTTTTTTCCCATCTTACACCTGATGACCTCCTCAACTCCATTCAAAAGTCGCAAAACCAATGATTATGGACCTGATAACATCCCAGTCAGACTGATCAAAGCCTCATTATCATCCATCCTTCCAATCCTCTACCATATCTACAATTACTCACTACAAAACGCTGCCTTTCCTACATCCTGGAAAACCGCACTAGTTCACCTTATGAAAAAGACTTCCAACCCGTCAACTCTCAATGATTTTCGTCCAATTTCTCTCCTCTCAAATCTTTCTAAACCTTTAGAGCGACTAATTCAAACCCAGGTATCAGATTTTTTAGAACAGAATAACCTCCTAAATCCCAACCAGTCCGGTTTCCGGCCTGGCTACTCCACTCAGTCTGCCCTCATCAAAATTTCCCAAGACCTTCATACAGCCATGGACCAGCAGAAACTCACCATCCTTATTCTCCTTGACTTCTCCAAAGCCTTTGACTCAGTAGACCACAAAATTTTTTTAGCCAAGCTTAAAAATATTTTCTTCTCAACTATTACCCTTAATTGGTTCCAATCCTTCCTTTCCGACCGCTTCCAGTATGTTGTAGTCCCCAATAACTCCCCATCAGAACCTTTACCTTTGTCCAGGGGTGTCCCACAAGGCTCCTCTTTATCTCCCACCCTTTTTTCCATCTACATCAATGACCTTTCATCCTCTATTCTTCACTGTCAATACCATCTGTACGCCGACGACGTCCAGATTTACTCCTTGGATCTCCTTCAATCCAACCGAATCCTCTGGCGCCATCCAAAAATTACAGGATGATATAAATGCAATATGTGCCTGGGCAAATCACAATAGGATTACTCTAAACGCCAATAAGACGAAAGCCATTCTGATCGGATCTCCCTCACTCCTCAAATCCATACAGATACCCAATCTTTTCCTGAACAACTCACCTATCTCATTCCATACTTCCGTAAAAAACCTTGGTGTTACATTCGATCAAACCCTCTCCTGGAAACCACACATCTCCCAAATTTCCCGTCGTACTGTCTCTACCCTGAAACAGTTTAACCTCCGCTATCTCCTTCCATATAAATCCCGTCAACTCCTGGTTTCCTCCCTTGTGTTCCCACACTTCGACTGTCTGGTGTACGGCGGACACTCGGGAGAATTCGAGGCCAAACTTAAACGCCTAATGAACTGCGCAATACGTTTTGTTTTCGGAATCTCAAGAGATACGCATATAACCCAGTATTACACCAAGTTGAAGTGGCTCTATCCATCCAACCGCCGTTTGTACTTCCTTGCCACTTTTCTATACCAAGTCATCAGAACTCAGCGGCCTTCCTATATTTTTCACAACCTACAATTCAAATATTCCATTCAATCCCGTCTCACTAGATCTCGTACCTCCGACCTCTATCCATCTTCCCACCGAACTGCAGCGTTTGACAAATCCTTTATAATTCAAGCCGTCTCCTTCTGGAATACCATCCCTCCCGATATCCGACATGTACAATCAGTTTCCTCATTTAAATCTCTCCTTTTTAACCACCTACTCCTTTCCCAACCCGATTGATCATGAAATGTAGATAAGAGAACTTTTAAAGTTCCCCCAGAAATTATTTTCTTTACTTATGCTATTTTATTTTATTATATAGTTTGTATTATACATATCAGAATGTTTTTAGTGTAATAGTTATATTTTTTGTTTTATTATTTTTTCAAAATCTTAATCTTAATAATAAATGTAAATAATTAATTTTATGTATGGCCACACAGGCATTTATTCTGTATCTGTAATTTGTCCTAAAGGGACAACAGTCCCAGAATAATTAAAAAATATTTTCATTTAATTTCATTTTCATTTCATTTCATTTCAATTTCCTAACAAAAAGTAAATATGTCTAAGAGACGAGGTGACAGTAGTATATCGTAATCTAGCGCATGCGCAGAACTCGTAGAAAAATAATAATAATAGTAATAGATGGGCAACCCTGCCCTGGTGCTGTGTTATAGAATAGAAGTGTTTATGGATACCGATGAAGGCGGATTCTGATGAAGACAAAACTGAGGAATTTGCCAAACACCTCTCCTGTACATTTACTCCTCATCCTGAATCCCATTCCATTTATACTAGAAAAGTAGAAAAATTCCTCTCCTCACCAATTCCACTTTCCCTACCACCAAAAGCAGTTCATCCATCTGAGGTCAAATATCATTTACAAAAACTATCTTCCCGCAAATCTCCTGGATACGATCTTCTAACCCCACAGATCCTTTATCAACTACCACCCGATCATGTTCCTCACATACATATACAATTGCATCCTAAGAACTACCCATTTTCCTCTCTTATGGAAACATTCCACCATCGTCCTTCCAATAACACATCATCCTATAGACCAACCAGCCTACTCCCAATCCTTTCAAAAATATTTGAAAAAATCCTATTAAAAAGAATCCTTAACTTTTTTTAACTTTTATTATGATATTTACAACTGTATTAGTATGAATACATCAAGTAAATGTGTACAGAGGAATATAATAACATGAAACACGCTTGTTGAGAAACTAAAAGAATCCTACCCATAATAGAATCACAAAACCTTCCTACCCATCAATTCGGATTTCGTTTCCAGCATTCCACCGTTCAACAAGGACTTCGAATTGTTGACCACATATCCTCAACTTTAGAAAGCAAAGAGTATTGCTCGGGAGCATTCCTGGACATTGAGGAAGCTTTATGGATACATTCTGTAGGTAGGATACATTCTAAACCTTTCATTTAACTCGAAGCTGAGCTCACCGTATTTTTCTAACGACGACTTAAGATTTTTAACGCTTCATTGACTTGGGCTCTAAGTTGATTAACCGCTCCGAGAATATCAGCTGCTGACGGCTCCTTGATTTCACTTCTTGTTGGACTGGCTGATTTTTCTCTAATTTGGTTTGTATTTTTGCCTTGGTCTCATTTTTTACAAAGCCATTCCTTTTTTTTTTTTTGAGATTTTAAGGTCTCGATCTCTTTATCGCCCAGTTGGCAGGCATTTACCGTGAAAGATAACCTGACATTTATTGCAACTTATATTAGTTTTGTCCTCCCTAGAGATGGCACAACCACAAATAGAGCACTGAACCAGTTTTGCAATATAATAATATTTACTCACGCTAGGCGAATATTTGTCAATAGAGGCGTGTTGTTGGTCCTTAATACTCAGAAGCTTAGGAGGATTAATTGCCGCTCCTCAATCCACAGCTAGTGAAACACGACCTTCCTTTTTCTTTAATAATTTACGACGCCTTAAAAAAAGAATATATATATATATATATATATATATGAAGGACGTAAATAAACTCGGTTGACCGTGATGAAAAAAAATATATATATATAAAAATTAAGAAGAAATAACAGAGGGTACGAATGTTAGAGAGAAAAAACCAGCATACATATGTGTGTTTGCGCGCGTTATCATATCTATATACAAATGAATGACACTTATTTTACAGTAAATGTAATAATTACAAATGATGGTTTTGTAGCCTATATTATGTAATACTATTATTGACATGGGCGGATCCAGAGGAATAAAAAAAAAATTTTAATTTTTGGAATATACTTATATCTTTTGTATTTTTATCCTAAGCGAGAAAAGATTTGTTTAATAATGAAATGAGCAATTATTTTACACTCTGAAACTCATTCGCTCTAAATGTAACCACGAAAGAATCTCTTACGGCCCGGAGGAATAGCATAATAATGTTACTAATTATAATATTGAAATAAAAATGAGTAACAATATAAGAAAGGTTTGAAAACTGTTGGAAAGTTTCAAAGCTAGATCTGCACAAATGGTTTAAGTGATCATCAAATACAAATAAAGGAACCATAGAAAATTACTGGATGAGGTCAAATCTTAAATATATTTTTAACTTCCAAACATTAAATTTTCACTTACGGCTCGTCGCTATTAATTAATACTTATAAATATTATATGTCATATTAGTTTAAGTTTTAATAAGTTCCTTATTGTTTATAGTTTTAATGATATGATTTTTATAGAATACAAAACCTTTTATAAAGTTTTTTTTTGCCACCCTCCCACTTTTCGCTAAAGAAGATGTCTGGGCACCCTTGTACTTGCCATTGTTTTATTGAATACGTTAATTTTCACCCAATTACTAAAATACTTATTTATTTTTATTTCTAATTAATTATTATAGATATTCTTTTATTTGTTTTTAATAAACTATCTCTAGTTATGAATATGTTGTATTCCAAAAATTAATGAAATACTGCAAAATTAAATATTTTATTATCTGATCCCAGAAATACAAAATAATATAGGAGTTTACTTTTTCTTTTTTAGATCTTAGCGAAATATGGGAAGAAGCCACTTACACAATGGACGAAGACATTTCCCAGGCTAATTGGAGTTTGCGGAAAAGACTTGCGCTGATGAAGATTGAATTTTATCGTGGAACAATTGAATTCAATGGACCTGACATTATAACTGTGAGTCAAATCAAACAGTATAGAGTAGAATAGAAAAATAAGATTAATTCAGGGTCTACGTCCCTTAAGAATATAAATAATAACTGTGAATAATGGTTAGGGTTTCTTTATGAAACAAACACAGACAATAAAGAACCGTTTATTGCGGAAGAACACTACGAACATAGAAGCCATATCGAGGGAGTATACATTGTTGTGATCACTGACATCACATCTACCAATGTTGCCAGTAAAAGTGTTGTAGGTAGAATATACAATAACAAATAACATAAATTAATTAATCCTGACACACCCCCTCGATTGAAGCTTTACATAATTGAGAAATTTATATAACTAAAGACTCAATCGCAAACATTAATAATTATTTTATTTTTCATTTTTTTTATATATTTAACAATGCCCTTTAATGTGGCAGAATGTATTAATATTCAATAAAGAAAGTAAAAAAAAAAGATTATATATATATATATATATATATATATAACTTACGATCGTCCGAACAGTAAATAATAAAAAAAAGAAAGAAAAAGAAAGGTAGAAAGAAAGAAGGACATAAAATAACTCACTCGGTTGCTCGATAAAGACTGCCTTTATTTTCCCAGTAATGCTATACATATAGTATTATGTCTTGTTCACATCTTATGAATAGGATTAACTATTATATAGTCCTACCTCTAACCATAACTCCCCTCCCGCCAGTTTATGAACATTCCTCATAAACTAACGCAGGTTCACCAACATAATATCAGACAATCAAACCAAAAACAATAACCTTACTTTATAGTTCCTATAATGGTAATTTTAACAGCAATAAAAACAAAATTAAACATATTCTTATTTTACAAAATATTCCAGTGGAACAAAACAAACATAATTAACCTTCCAACGTCTGCCCCTAGTTCGTAGGAGACAGAAAAGAGGATAAACTGCTCATTTACTTTGGTGACTCCGCCTCTATTAGGAGTTTCAATTGCTCTATGTGAACGGTCCTCCGTTTTCTGGGATCGTTCAAACTCTGGATCGTACAAATATTGTGCTCGCGAAGTAAAATTACTTTGGATGGTCCATCGTAGCGTACCAGTTCCTTACTTCTATTAGATCCGACCCTACGTTAGACTATCGTCCCTATTTTCAATTCCCTCACTCTATCTTTGAGGTTCAAATTGACCTTCTCCACCCTTTTCTGTTTCTCTCTCTCTATCTTCCCTTTCGTTTTTTTCCCCAAACTCTCTTTATCTCCGCTCTGTTACAGGTTATCTGTTGAGCTTGTGCTTCGTTCGTGACCGTTTCATTCCAGTCTCGTCGCCGTATATTTACCCCGAACAGTACCTCGACCGGAGTAAACCCCGTAACTGAGTGGATGGAATGGTTGTAGGCTGCTACTGCCCTTTTCATGGCCACGTCCGCTTCTAATCCCTGTTCCCCTTGGTAAATGCGTAGATGATCCCTTAGGGTGCTATGCAACCTCTCGATACTTCCCCTGCTCTTTGGATGTCCCGGCGTGTTGAAGTGCCAAGCTATATTCAATCGCTTAGCTTCCTCTCGTATAGTAATGTTGTCGAACTCCCTCCCTCCGTCCGACGTTATGCGATCCGGCACTCCGTAGAACTGAACCCATGTTTGGAGAGCTCCCACAACAGCCTCCGATGACTTATCCTGCACCCGATGTACCATCGCTACCTTACTAAAGAGGTCTATCATTGTGACCCATTTAAAACCCCTCCATGTGAACGTATCGATCTGCACATCCTTCAATGGCGTATCTCCTGTCGGGGTTTCCTCCTGTAATGCTTGAGGTGGCCGTCTATCGTACTTAGTGCGCGCGCACACTTCGCACCTCCCGATGACTTCCGAAATCGTCTTTTTGATTCCCTCCCAGAAATAACTCCTGCGCAGTGCCAGAAATGTTTCGTGCAGTCCCCGATGATTTGTCTTGCCCTGGTGATGTGCCATTGTTACCTCTCTCTGCTGTTCCCCGTCCGTTAACGTTTCGACTAGGTACTTACATCTAATAAACGACCTGTCCATGCCTATTTTTTCTGATTTCCAGATCTTCTTGATCTTCTCCCAGATCGTTGCATTCCCCACATACAGGTAGTGATTTTTTTCCGGCTCCGAAGCGTCGTGCAAGACCTTACAAATCTGTTCTTCCTTCACCCCTGGTTGAGACCAAATGGTGGTAATCTTCTTCTTCCCATATTTACCGAAGTCTATCTTCATAAGCCCCGACGTTCTGGTCTTCCAAATTACCTGTTGGCGCTTATCATTAATTATCTCCTCGAATTCCTCCATGTCTGATGGCCTTTCTTCTTCTCTTGACTCCTCTGTTCCCGCGGTCGCAGGTTCCTCTTCGCCCTCTGGTGTCCACGCTCTCAGGAACTGCCGCACGTCCCGCGATGACTCCCCTTCGTCTTCCTCAATGGCGTTTATCATAATAGCTCTGGACAGCCAATCCGCTACAACATTTTCCTTACCCGGCTTATACATGACTTCCATGTTGTATTGGCTTAAAAATTGCTTCCATCGAGTGACTCTCGCTGATGATTCCTTTAGGTTACCCACCCATTGCAACGGTCTGTGATCAGTATGCACCTTAAACTTCCGGCCAAAAATGTACGGTCTAAAATGCTCTACCGCCCATACTATGATCAAAAGTTCCCTTTCCAGGCCGCTATACCGCGTCTCCACGTCTGTGAGTCGCCGATTTGCATACGCTGCTAGCTGTTCCCCATTAGTTCCTTCTTGAGCAAGTACCGCCCCCAACGCATACTCACTTGCATCTGTCGCTATGATGAACGTTTTCGCAAAGTCGGGAAAAGCAAGTACCGGTTTATCCTGTAACCTCGCCATGCACTTCTTTACGTTGTCCTCAATCGCTGGTGTTATCGTTATCTTCCGGCCTTTCTTTAGAAGATTGTTAAGAGGTGCTAGGTACTCCGCCATCTCCGGCACAAACCGCCGGTAATAGTTCTGCGTTCCCAACAATCTACGGATCCCTTTAACATCTCTGGGCATCGCCATGTTCTGTATAGCCTCTACTTTCCGTTTATCAGGCCTGATCCCCTCCTTCGAAATCGAGTGTCCCAAAAATGTTATCTCGTCTTGTCCCAGAATCGACTTTTCAACCGACAACTTCAGCCCGAATTGTCTTAATCTGTCGAATACTCGAAGCAGACGACCGACTTGTTCCCCTTCATCCTTGCTGAAGACCAGAAGATCATCCATGTATACCTGACAGAACGCTTCGTCCAGTCCCCTCAAGAATTCGTCCATAAACCTCTGGAAGGTTATGGGAGCGTTCTTTAACCCAAATGGCATGCGAGTAAACTCATAATGCCCCGTCTCGAAGGAAAACGCCGTTTTGTGCTGGACCCTGGGATTCATACGTATTTTATGATAGCCTGCCTTCAGATCCAGGGTACTAAAAATTATGGCTCCGCTCAGTCTTTCGATAATATCGTCAAATCGTGGAAGTGGGTACTTCTCATCCAGGGTGTTCTCGTTGAGCTTTCTGAAGTCAACAACCACTCTATACTTCTCTTCTCCCGTTGCGGCCTTCTTCTTCACTGCCCACAGGGGACTATTGTATGGTGACGTGCTGTCCACAATGATGCCTTGACCTTCCAAGTTCTCCAGCTCTTCCTTGATATGTCGCCGTAGAGCTTGTGGGTAACGTCTGTCCTTTACGTACGTCACCTTAGCAGAGGTCATTTCTTCACCCTGATATATCCGATGGGAGTCGTTTTCCTGCCAGCCAATGTCTCGAGTTGAAAAGTCCCTTTTGACTTTTCTTCTTTGTACCAGCTCGTCTCGTACTGCCTGCCTCACAAAGAGAGCTACCACCTAAGGCGATCATGTTCCTCACATACATATACAACTGTATCATAAGAACTACTCATTTTCCTCTCTTATGGAAACAATCCACCATCGTCCTTCCAATAACACATCATCCTATAGACCAATCAGCCTACTCCCAATCCTTTCATGGCGTATGGCACATCGGACTACTCTTCAAGCTCAAAACCCACCTACCCCAATCCTTATATCTAATACTCCGATCCTACCTCTCTGATCGCTCCTTTCGAGTTCGTTGTGGTACAAAATTCTCCAACTGCCATTCAATTGAGGCGGGAGTTCCTCAATTCAGCGTCTTGGGTCCCGTCCTCTACATTCTGTTTACCGCTGATATTCATACTCATTCCGAAACCCTCTTGGCAACATTCGCTGATGACACAGCCATCCTATCTTCCAACCCAGATCCTAAAACAGCATCCTCAAACCTACAAAGTCACCTTTCTCTTATTGAACATTGGTGTAATAAGTGGCGCATCCAAGTAAATGAATCCAAATCCAAACACATCACTTTTACCCTTCGGTGCAAGTCCTGTCCACCAGTCTACTTCAAATCCTCTCTCAGGCACTGTCCGGTATCTTGGCTTTCTTCTAGATAAAAGACTAACATGGAACCCACATTCCAGACTAATGAATAGAAAATCTCAACTTTCAGTCGACAACAAACTACTAATCTACAAAACAATCTTGAAACCTATCTGGACCTACGGACTAGAGCTGTGGGGGTCAACAAAACCTTCTAACATTAAGCGCATTCAATCCTTTTAGTCTATAGTCCTCCGAACAATAGTCGATGCTCCCTTCTATGTATCCAACAAAACCCTCCATAATGACCTTCATATCCCATTTGTTATTGACCTAATCCCAGGCAAATTTCACTAGAAACTCACTCATCATCCAAATCCTGTAGCACAATCCCTATCTAGCCCCAGCCATCCCTACAATCTTCCCCGGAGGTTAAAACGGCAGTGGCCCCGTGACCTGTTATAGTTTGTAAATATTGGAGTACTGGCAATGGCCAGATTCTTAAGTATCTACCTCGATGTGTGAAGTGCGGACAGCATCACAGGTCTGAAGATTGCACCAAGTCTAGGCAAACTCCTGCTGTTTGCGCACTATGCCATCAAAACCATACAGCAAACGTACAA